CCAGTCGAATCATCCAGAAGGTGAAAATTTTCCTCCTCTTATAAAATTATAAAAACTAAACCGTCATTATCGAAACAGAGAAAAATTGGGGAAAAGCAATAAGTAACCAAACCTAGAACTTCAATTTTCTCGATCCTTTTATCAAATTGAGCTGTAAATTCATCAATTGCAGCTGCGGGAGGAGGAGGACGTGGTGGAGAATGGCGGAACACTTGGCCTCGATTTTTGGGACGGAGAAAGACAGAGTGAACTGCCCTTTTTACTTCAAGATCGGAGCTTGCCGTCACGGCGACCGCTGTTCTCGCCTCCATACCAAGCCTAGCATCAGTCCGACTCTGCTTCTCTCCAACATGTATCAACGGCCTGATGTGATTACTCCTGGCGTCGACGCCCAGGGCCAGCCGATCGACCCTCACAAAATGCAAGAGCACTTCGAGGTTTGCAATTTTTCAAGAAGATTGTTGCAATTTTTTTAAGAAGATTGTATTGAATTTCTCAACTGCATTACAGATTTCATGTCAGGGGATCGATTGAGCTATGGATATTTGTTTTTGTTTTCAGCTATAATTGATTTGTGACACATTGGTTGAATTTTTAGGTAGTTTCAATTAAATTTGACCACATGTTTTCATATGCGTGCATTCGGGTGTGCTTTATTGTGAGTGGAGGTTTGTCTTGTCGTGTGAACGTTTATAATTTTTTTTGGGAAAAGGATGTCAGGTTCAGCTAGATTCTGTCTGTTTTGTGGGAATTCTGTTAAATTCTAACTGGATTTTTTTCTGTCCCTATTATTGGTTATAGGATTCTTTGATGAATATGACATGAGTCTTAGGCACGGAATTTTCTTGAATATTAGGGTATGAACTTTAACTGCAAAGTATAATGCATACTGGCGCATCCTAGGTTTTGCGGACAGGAATTGGAGTCGGAATTTGTGTTCAATTGTATGTAGCTTTGTACTAAAGGAACATCTGCTCCCGCTCCCGTTTACCTTGGAAAGGAACAGTCTATTAGATGATTAGTTCCTTATGGACTCTCTGTGTTGTTTCATTGTGTACTGTGTGCCTTCTTTTGTTAATTGCTAAAAGGTATTCATGCTTTCTTATAACTTGTAAATTTTCTGCATGTCAAGACTTGCTGCAGCTGGTTGATAGCATGTGAAGATTTCTAGTTTTTGTTCATGTTGTGCATAGATGCTGTATTCACATAGGCACGTGAATATTCTAATTCTGTCCTCGTTTACAAAGATTTCTCATGATGAAGATTGGTGCCTCTAATTGCCTTTACAATTTCTTGAGCATGTGGTGCCATTAAGGAACATTATAAAGTATTACAAACCATGTATGTCAGGATTCAGTTACATTATGTTTGATTTTGTGTTGGATAGTGGCCGTTTGTTCCCTCTTTGCTTAGAGTTTAATGTGTTTCAGTGGTGGACATTTCTGTTGAATTTGCAGGATTTCTATGAAGATCTTTTTGAGGAGCTAAGCAAGTATGGTGTGATTGAGAGCTTGAATATTTGTGACAATTTGGCTGACCACATGGTAATTTTCTGACAACTAAATTCAGATTCCTCTTTCCCTAGTTGAGTTGCGAATTGACAGGTCAAATGTCTATGACGGTGTGTTTGCCAGGTTGGAAATGTCTATGTCCAGTTTAGAGAGGAAGAGCAAGCAGCAAATGCATTGAAAAATCTCACTGGGCGGTACTATGCAAGTAATGTTTTTGATTTTCCTCCTCATGTTTTCCCGTTAGTTTTTCTTCTATTTGATGATACAAGTTGCATGATTTAGAGTTCTGGGCTTTGCAAATTATTATGAGGCTAAAACTTGATTGTGGCACCTCTGCAGGACGGCCCATCATTGTTGATTTTTCACCTGTGACTGATTTTCGTGAAGCTACTTGTAGACAGTATGAAGAAAATACATGCAATCGTGGTGGCTACTGTAACTTCATGCATCTCAAAAGGATTAGCAGGTAATGTTCTGTTGTAGTTGAAAAAAAAATCAATAAATTTAGATTAATTGTTTCATTTGGTAACAAATTTAACTTGTGAAATTAGGGAATTGCAACGTCAGTTATTTGGGAGGTATCGCCGAAGGCGCAGCCGGAGCAGGAGCCGAAGCAGAAGCCCTTACAGGCATCGCAGCCATGAAGAGCGTTCTCATTGTCACAGTAGAAGGTATGAAGACAGAGATTATCACCATGAGAGTCGAAGCAGGAGGCATAGGAGCACCAGTCCTGACCGTAGGAGGGGAAGAAGTAGGAGCAGGAGTCCAGGTGGCAGGAGAGATAGAAGTCCTGTTAGGGATGGTAGTGAAGAGAGACGTGCTAGGATTGAAATGTGGAACAGAGAAAGAGAAGAAGCAGAACTAGCGAATAAGATCAATGATAATAGCAGCAACAGGAAAAACGAAAGCGAGGACAATGGGTATGCACAAAATGGAGATCAGTATTATGGACAGGAGCCACCATATGGATATTGAACTGACAGTGGTTCGTTTTCTTTTCTCTCATCATTTTCATTTATCTTTGCTCCTTAGTTGAATTTCTTTTCAAAGGAGGAGCCACCTGTTGTCTAAACGTAGCTTACTGCGCATTTTCCACTGTGCAGGTGGTGTGCAGGTTTACAGTTCTGTGATATGGCTTGTGAAAAAAATATGCACCCTTTTTTGGCTTTCTGATTTCATCATCTTGTGTCTGTGCTTGAATGCATTGCATGATCTTAGTTTGATTGTAGCCAGCGACAGTGTAAAAACTAATCTGTGTTGTCTGTGCATCTATAGCTCATACTGTCTTACATCATCATTCATGTCTTTTCTGTCATAACAATAGTAGAGATCAGTTGATGGTAAATCTTTTTATGGTTCTTTAAAAATTTTTGAAGGCAATCCATGAGTTAGATTTTTTTTTTTCTTCATCCCTGTAATGGGAACAATTACTTGAGGAGTTTCATTGCTCAATTATTTAAGGTAATTTCCGGTGTAAATTTTGTGTTGGGCAAGTTTTTCAAGCCTGACATCTTTTAAACACACTTGAGGGAGCCCTTCACTTTGACATTTTGATTGCATAGACTTGGTGTTTTCGGTTCTGTGTTAGTTGTGATGTTGTTGCTTGTTGATCAACTTTACCATGTCTGTCTCAATGTCATTTTTAGCTCATGAGCAGATCTTGTCATGATTGTCGTATGTTTTCCTGAGTTTTCCTAGCTTTGTTCCTTTTTTCTTCTTTTATGTAGAAGCAGAATGCTTCTAGTAAATTTATACATAACGCATGGGTAGGGTCTTGTGCAATTAGTTGTGGTCTTGGTTTAGGACATCATTGGGAAGCGTGTTGTAGTAGGAATACGAGCTGTAATAATGCATGCGGTGTGCATTTTTCGTTTATTATGCGTGTGCAGTGCATGTTTCTGAATTCTATGTGCAGTCAGGTATTCTGTCACCGCAACAAAACCAGGCTAGTGACCTTGAACTTGTATTTCTTTGCTCTGAAATTTACTTTAAAAAGTGTTATCTTACAGCATCTCGAGTTTTGCAGGTCCAGGTTTCCCTGCTTAAAAGGACCAAGAATATATTTTAACTAAGGCTTACCATGGAATGTGTACAGGTTTTGCCAAGTCAGAGAATTTGATCCAACAGGTTTGATGTGACAGGGATGTGCAGGATTTCAAGGGCATAGAAGACTAATGGATGCTAGAGTGCCTTTGGCTCCTGAGCTGAATTGTTATGATGAGCATAATCTGTTGTAAACTTTTTCAGGTTGTTTGTGTAGGTTGGCTGATGGCAATTGCTGTTTTTCCTTTGTTGGGTTTACGCTCTAGCTATTCGTAGACTGAACAGTTTCTATGAAGTTTTTCATTTTGTACTGGTTTGTAATCATATAAGACGAGCGCAATCTTGGGAGTTTCTCCTTGGTTTGCTGATGAGTTTTGCGAGTGTCTTTGCATTTTTGTTCTGGAGCAAATAAATGAATGGGATCCCTATATCGGTTCTGCTTCAAGTACAGTGAGGATAAAATTCCCATTAATATTAAATTCACACCGTCCGATCTCATTAGAAAACAATATTATGTTCAGCTTTTGTAATATACAGAACATGTTTTAACAATAAACTAGAAGCAAACGATTATCTTTTTTTATTTTTTTGTTTTAATATCACAAGAAGCCAACTATAGGGTCTGAAGTTCTGAACGAAACCCAGTAATGGGATAGATACCAACATGTGCCAAAAATAAACTCATGCGACGTGAGTTTATTTATTTACGGTCATTTTGGAAGTTTATAGAATGCCTATCAGTATCAAAACACATTTTTTTAAAGGAGGAGAGGGTAATATCGAACATTTTACTTTTTTATTTTTTGCTTCTTATAAACAGAATGGTTCAATTAACAGTGATTTTTCACTTATCTCATTGATTATTCCAACTAGTAATGTATTAGTTACGATATGAGCTGTGTCCGTTGTGCTGATATTAGTTACAAGCAAGCATTTGACTACCTGAGTTATGTTTCATTGTGTCGAATATTTTATTTCTGCTTGAAAGCATTAATTTAATTAGAAATCTATAATTTTTCAAGAAAATTAAATTTGACAAATAGAAAATTAACACTGAAATTGGGATGTGCATTTTGTCTATCTATCTATCTGAAAATAAAATACGGTTCTTTCATTTTCTTGTGTGGAAAGATACTTATCAAAATTGTAAAAGTTAAGAAGATTACTACCTAATAATATATGTATAGGATAAAATACGAAGGGTGTGGATTTAACACCTCCCCAAAATTATAATTTATAAGCGGGTGTCCAGTGGTTTTAAAACGTCCAAATACGTTTTGTCATCCAAATTGCAACAACTACCCAGCAAAATCATTTACACTATATATGTGGTAAAGATTTTTTTGTTTATTTATTTACGTAATCCCTCTCAATCCCAACAGTCAAGAACATCTGGATCAGCTAACAAACTTTCTGTAAATATATGCTTCCTTATCATATCAATCAGATTTCCCTCAGAGCTTCTATCTACCAATTTGTCAAAAGTTTCTTTGATAAGCAATGGAGGGCACAAGTTGTTTTCGTCCAAAATCAATCAAACTCAACGCAATGCGGGCCGACTGATATGATAGTTGGACAGCACCAGTTCAGAGGCGGCAGTATTATAAGAAGGGTTTTTTCCCTTGATCCAATGGCTACACCTGAGCTTTTTGTTCTTTGAGAAATAATAATGGCATCCCTCGTCTCCAGTTGGTCTTCCAACTTGAAATCCTTGCCTGATAACTATGTGTTACCTGAGGAAAAAAGGCCAGGAATGCCTGTTCCAGTAAGCAATGATATACCGGTGATTGATCTCGGAGACGGACTAGATTACAGCAGAGCTGACATAGTCCAGCAAATCGTGAAAGCTGGTCAGGATTTTGGACTATTTCAGGTTAATCTGTGATTAATTTACTTCGCACCAAATTCACAAATGTTGTAGCCAGTTATATTTTTTAGATATCAGGTAATTTGGATTGTATATGATATGTGAAACAGGTGATCAACCATGGAGTATCAAAGGAGTTGATGGCTGATGCTATGAATGTGAGCAAAGAGTTCTTTGGCATGTCCACTGAGGAGAAAGCACAGTACTATATTGACTCCGTTGCATTGGAAGAAAAGGCCGGATGCAGACTCTATACAAGTTCTGGGTATTTTTTGGCTCAAGGTTTCGATTTCTGGAAGGATACTTTGCAACACCCTTGTCATCCTCTGCAAAACCACATCAATTCTTGGCCTGACAAACCTAAGAACTACCGGTAACCATAATTTTAGCCGCATCACATTGGGTTTCAGGATACCTGCTCATTTCTGTCATCTTTATATGGAACTTTTTTTTTTTTTTTTTTTTGGGACGGGAAAAATGATAGGATGATGATAGGTATTTGAATCAAACTAAGGGGGAGGTCTGAAAAAAAGTAATGAAAAGCTCCCCGATGCTTGAAAAACTAACATAATCAATTGATTAATTTTATTTTGACTGATGAACATGATTAACTTTCCTGTTCAGAAGAGGTTTTAGGACCATACACAACTCAAGTGAGGAAAGTGGCATGAAAATTATGGACATGATCTATCAAGGTTTTAGGGCTTGAAGCTGGACGACACTGAGAAAGAATTCCGAACAACTATAATTTAGCTTTTCTCCATCAACCATTATCCAGCATGCCCAGACCCCTGCATTTAGGCTTGAGGTTGCTGCAGACACTCTGATCCTGCCAATCCAACTCTTCATTCAGCAGAGGTTAAACGTATGGGCTCCAACTAGAAAAAGATGGCCATTGGATTGGCGTTTAAGCCCTTCCTGATGCAATTTGTGGTGAACATGGTTTGTTACTGGAGGTATAGACTTTTATCTTCTCCACAATCAGTTAAAACTTGCCTTTCTCAAAATATGTATGTTCCATATTATGATACTTCTCCAAACTTCAGGACTCTTTGGTATTTGGCCTTCTCTGCTGCATTTTTTTGTACAGGTCATTAGCAATGGAAAGCTGAAAGGTGCTGTGCATCGAGCGGTTACAAATTCAGTTTGTTCCAGGAACTCACTTGTGACCTTCGTAGGTTGCCCAACTGATGCCACTATTAAGCCTGCAACAGCACTTATTTCTCCCACCAATCCACCGCTTTATCGAGCATTCAACAACAAAGACTTTCATGAGTTTTGTGTTTGCCAATAACGCTGAATTTGAGGCTGTTATTGCATACTTAAAACTCAAAACCTAAGCCAGAAATTAGCTGTGCTACATTTGTGGAGAAGCCAGAATCAATCTATGATTCCAAGTACTGTTTTGGTTGGCTAAAAAAAAAAAAGAAATCTATAATTTCAGGTGGTATGGAATGCGCCTTAAATAATCGAGCAGGCCACTTTCTTTTCAGCACAATGTATCATACTAAAAGGAGTTGCTTTTGTATTAAAATAAGACATTCGCATTTTTAAGAGGATCAATAGTGATTTTCGACATAGTATCTCATGTTTTCTCAAACTATTTTGACCTTGATCATTAATTTCAGAGTTTCAGTTTTTGCTTTTTTTTTTTTTTTTTTTTTTTTTGTAATATAATGCAAACCCTTGAAACAACAAGGTAACAAGGTAAAATCAAAAGAACTTCACATATATTGGCAAATAAAAGTACAAGAATACTAAAATGTAAACCCCTTTAGATGAATAAATATTCTGAAGCATATAGCAGTTGCAAAAATTGTAGTATACCAATACAAGGATACGAGCTACACAGCTTTATTACTCTATCGCTATGCAATATTGTAGAACTATAATAAGTATTACTAAATCGACAATGCATCTTCGCGTGTGTAGTACCAAAATCGTGCTATCAAAGTAGAGATCTAACATTTATTCACCACCACATATGCTTCGCAAATTAAACGTCTAGAAAAACAAGAGATATAAGTTCTAAAATTCTCTGAAAAAAATTCAAAGAAAAAATAGCGGATAGAAGAACAGTAAATAGAAGGTTCTCGATTTAAAACCTTTCACTTATCCCAAAAAAAAAAGAGCATGGGTTGCGATAGGGTGGATGGGAGACGATAAAATTAAGAGTCAAGCAGCATAAATGTAATGTAAAGTGTGAAACTTCTTGGATGAAAACTAGATGTCCATTGTTGAGTTGTTTACCAAAAAAAAAAAAATATTTTCGAGTTATTACCATTTAAACTCCAAAAAAAAGGCCTCTTGAAGGGGCCAATACTCGTTTAGAATTTAAAGAAAAAAAAAATCCTTCACATTCGAGTAGTGCATCATGCTACAAAGGTAATGTGACAAAATATGTAAAACAGTAATTAATGCATGCTCCGACTACTCGTACTCAAAGCTATAACGTCTTATAAGTTTATATGTGAAATGGCTTGAGGAAATAACTCTGAAGCATGCCGTTGAAATCCACTTAACATGCAAGTCAAAATCCTTGTTTCTCCCACAAATCCTCCACTTTACCGAGAATTTAACACAATGACTTGCATGAGCTTTCGTTTGCCAATAACTCTGAGTTTGATGCTGTAATTGCATACTTGAAACTCAAAACCTAAGTCACAAATTCTTTACTTGTGGAGAAGCTAGCATTAATCTATAATCAAAGGCGATGTACTAATATGGAGTAGGCTATCGAGAAGCCATCTTCGTTTCAGCAGGACTTATCCTGCTAAACCGAGTAGCTCTTGTCCTCCTTTGATTCCATCCATAAATCCATCTTTCTTTGCTATGAGTTCTAGTGTTGTTTCGCAATATACATGCGTTCTCAAATGACTGTAACCTTGAAGATTAAATGCAGAGTTTCAGTTTTTGCTGGTTCTTGTTTGATGTGATACAACAGTAAACGTTTACATAATTCAGCCCTCTCAATTTTTAAGCAAAAGAACCCGAAGATTAACAATATTTCCTACTGAAATTTCGAAACATCTCTTGAAGGCCTTTTACTACTCGAAAAATTCACCTCAATATACCATGACCAAACAAGTACATTGGCAGGTAACAGCACAACAATATTGTATATAAATCCCTTGAGATAAATAAAAATCCTGAAGCACATAGCAGTTGCAGAAACTACAGTATAGCACTATAACTAAGGATCCCAAGGTCTCTACTATATCACTATGCAAAATTGTAGACCTATAATAATGAGAAGTATTGCTAAATCCCCAATGCATCCGTATGTCTGCAGTACCAAAATCGTGACAATCAAAAGCAGAGATCTAACCACATTTTATTTACCACCATGCTTAGCCTTGGCACGAGACTGTAGAGCATTCTTAGAATTGAATGTCCTGGAAAAAAAATTAGAATAAATGTCAATGTCATAGGGACAGAGATGAGGGACAAAGAAAAGGCCTTTAGATGGGGACAAACTTGCTACAGGATTTGCCAGATACTTGACTGCCAGACTTTCCATTTGCAGATGGACTTTTCCCACCTGCATGAATGTAGCAGAATATATGAGAACGAATAATAGTTACGAAAAAGCACCACAATATCAGCTATTCTTTGCTGCCACATCTTTTTGTCCCGAAACAAAAAGTTACTCAGATATATGTGGTTTTAAGCAAATTATGGCTGGAAAATATGAGATGCTGATTGTGGTCATCCTAAACACAGAGCCTCTACGCAACAAAATCTTTCTTGCTTCGACATGAAAACTATCATTAAAGGAATCTAGAATTTGTTGTACATTAAAAAAAAATAAAGGGAAAAAAAACTTGAAACAAGAAATTTATTAAAGATATAGGGCAATCCCCTCGCTTTGCCAGCATAATGAAGCAGCAAAACGGCCAGGGAGGCCCCAAAGAAAGCATCAATATGCGCCCATCACACAGAAGTGTGCCACATTTAATGAACCTCTCTCTGTGGAATACCACGCCGCCACTTGTTTTGTGTGGTCAGCGCTCGGCCTAAGGCGCTAGATAATGAACGCTAGGTTGATGGTTATTTGACACGTAAAATTTTAGGAGCTTGATTAATTGTTTAATTAAATACCAAAAAAAAAAAAATTACCCGATATTTGAGGTGCAGCTGATTTTGTTTTCTTTGCTGCCACTGGAACAAGCATCTCCGTAGCAGTTTCAGGTGGTCTTTTCTTCCCAGACTTGGTCTTCAAAAGTTAAAAATAATTCATGAAGTCAGACATTTATTAGTACTGCAATAATTGAATGTATACTTCAGGTGACAGTACCTTTTGAGATACCATATCTTGATTCTCATCGTCGCTGTCTTCTGAGTCCTGAAAAGGATACCAAAGAGCTAATGAATATAAATAAGAAACAAAAAGGTGAAGGGGAACAAAAAGTCAGCAAGCAGATTCTAGAAGAAGAGGATATGTTGACAAGAATTTCTTTCAAGAAACCAAGAGAAAAGACCAAACTGAAGCTAAATAGGAATTCTCAGATGCTTCATAAGCCCTAAGACTACTGCTTCAACAATTTATCAATAAATAACGCACAGAAAACACAAACATGCCACAAGCAGTCAATTCTTCAATCATTACTGCTCTAAAGAAAAGATATGTCAAGACCCACGTAATGACTAGTTGACTACATTCCAGTCTAACTATGGAACTTGAACAAGAATGCATATAAGATGAACATTGTTTCTCTTTTCCTCTTCGTTTCCTTCCATTCTTAGAGATGAAAACCATAGTACACAATTCCTCTCATATGGTAAATGGCTCTATGATATCAACTTATTCAGGTCACTCATATTTCTGTCTATTGAGGCATAAAAACATTAGGATTTATAAACACGATATAACAATGGTAACCCAAAAGATTAAGAAATCAATTTTAAGAGAGTTCATAGTGATTTTTTAGGACAAAGTTCATACTCTATCTGCTGAGGCATCACTTGAATCCTCTTCCATCTCACTAATTTCCTCTCCTTCATCATCATCTTCATTTGATTCTGTCTTGTCTTTCTTTAGCTCCACCTTCTTGAATATTGACTTTTCCAAGGGCTTGGGCTCAGCAGGAAGAGCCTTATTCGTAGCAGACTTCGGGCCAACGTTAGGCTCAAGTTTGGCTGACAAGTTTAATGAGGAATCAATTAATTTGGACCGCAAGAAAAATCATGGTAAAAGTTATCAACAAGCGCTAAAGAGAGCAAAAGCACTGCTAAGTACTAGCTACACCAAAAGCAGAGAAAAAAAGACTACCATTTTGAAGTTCATCAACTTGATTTTCCTCCTCTTCATCTTCATTGGAGAAATCTTCACCATCTTGTGAGATAAGAAGTAAGATTAGCAACATCATAAGAAAAGAGATGACGTCAATAACCACTATAATGGATAAAAACGGCAAAACTCACCACTATGGCTTTCAAGTTCAGTGAAGACAGAAAAGATATTGTCAAGGAAATTATACATTTAAGCGAGACAGAAAGCATGCCATGATACCTTTAAATTCAAGATGATTTTTTATTAAAAAATTTCATTGCTTTGAATGCATTAGCATATTCTAAGGACAGAATAGGAGCTTGTAATCAGCGTGAACATGTCATAAACCAAAGTAAAAGGATATCTACTGTCATCATCAGCAATGTATCCAGCGAAGTAGATGCTTCCATCTTTCCAGTCATGTGAGAGCTCAAATTCTCTCTCAAAAACCAAGTCAAACATCAACTGTGGTCTATCCTCTGCTGAAAGAGTCCCTATAACATATTTTTTGTCGCCAACCTTCAAATGAATCGGAACACACTTTGGCCCTTTTCCATCCTTTATCTCACCCAAAGCTGCCTGCAAAAGTTAAAGATACATTTTTTGTCATGAAAGCATGCGTAACTTCCTGTAAAACTAATTAAGTATTCTTCAGACCATTAAACCTATACTCTAGTAAAATGGGTCTATGTAAAAACTTACGACCTGGGAGATGTGAATAAGCCTGAACACTTCAGGTTTGACCTTCAGAGGTTCTCCAGGCTTGACTTCAACACCTGAAAATAGAACGCAGATATTAAGTACAAAGCAGGCAATTTTTCAAGCAAAATAAGAAAGATTGAATTGTTTTCACAATGAGTAGAAAAAGAAAAACTTTGAATTGTAAGATAAATCATCGGAATGAGAAATAACAATTGCTAGCTCTTAGAATAACCTTATGAAAGTTATTAACATCAGATGAGTTAGCATTAATATCAAAAACAACTTGGTTATACTATACAACTCAGGCACCAAAAAATTTACGGGAATAAAGACTCAATTTCTACCCTGCAAAGGATCTATAAAAAGGCTGCTCTTCTGTACAATTGAATAAATATCGTGCAACTATCTCATAAGGCACTCAATGGCAACTTTTTTTCCACAAAGACAGCTGATTGAATGATAATTAGAAGTATCCAGGGTTGAAAAAAAAAAGCAAAAAGAACAGCTATCCTGACTTTAAAGCCTGAAAACTAGTCCAACAGAAAGCGAAGCTTACCCCAAAACTCCATTTGCAGAATATGATGGATGGCCAATGGGAGTGCGAAGATG